TAACTTCAGCAAGTTGATTCTTTTTTGTCCTTTAAAAACTATCATACTTCAGCCGGGCGGTGGTCGCGCACACACCTTTAATCCCAGCACTCTGGAGGCAGAAGCAGGTGGATCTCTGTGAGTTCCAGACCAGCCTGGTCTACAAGAGCTAGTTCCAGGTCAGCCTCCAAAGCCACAGAGAAACCCTGTCACGTTCCCCTTATAGGTCTGTGTCACCACATCTGGCAGATGAATCTGAAACTCTGCTAGGTCTTCCATTTGTTCTGCATTTTAATATTTTCAAGTGTTCATTCTTCCAGTTCCAATTCCCTTCTCTTCAATGTCTTATTTGCTCCTTGTCAGTCTCTTCTATTTCTTTAAACTTAGGTTGACCTGGAACTCATTATGTAGCCCAGCTGGTTTAAACTTCCAATTTTTTCGCCTCAGCCTTCCAGTGCTGAATGTATGGGCATATACCACTGAGGCTGAATTCACCTTTTTTTTGTTTTGTTTTTAGTTTGAGACAAGGTGTCTACATAGCTCTGGCTGACCTGGAACTCACTATGTAGACCAGGCTGGCCTTTAACTCACAGAGATCCACCTGTGCTGGGATTAAAGATGTGCACCACCATGATCTGAATTCATTTTTTAAATTTTTCTGTGTTGCCTAGCAACATGCATGTTGGTTCTCTCCACTTTTGCATAGGTTCCAGGAATTGAACTCAGATAGCCAAACCTATACAGCAAGTACCTTCACCTGCTGAACCATCTGTGTGGTCCTTTTTGTTTTTTGAAACAGGGTTTCACTATGTGGCCCTGTCTGCCTTGGAACTCACTATAAAGGCAAGGCTGTCCTCAAACTCAGAAATCCATAGGCCTCTGCCTCCAGAGTGCTAGGATTAAGGACATGAGCCACCAGGCCAGGCTCCTGTTTTTGTTTTCTAAATGAAATCTCCATATGCCTAAGTGAGGAGGTGGTAATATAGGTGTTTCTCACTCTCCTTTGTTGCCATTCTAAGGTTGCTAAGGCTTAGCTTAGTGCATGAGGTCCAGGGTTCAATATCATCATCCCCACCCCCCCATTTCACTATTTCACTCTGTAGCCCTGGCTGTCCTGAAACTCATTCTGTAAACATGCTGGCCTCAAACTCACTGGCTATGCCTTCTAAGCACTGGGATTAAAGGATGCGCCAACACTGCCTGGTGGTTTCAGTCTCTGATAAATGAGAAAAAAAGCATAGCCTGGTTCTTATTGTACACACCTGGAATCTCAGTACTCAGTAGACTTGATGCAAAATGATCAAGAGTGTGAAGTCACTGTGGGAAGATGGCTCAGTTGCTGAATTGCTTGTGGATGCAAGTTTGAGGACCAGAGTTCAACCCCCAGAACCTTTTTCTGTGTATGAGTGTTTTGCCTGCATAAATGTCTGTGCACCACTGTTAAGCCTAGATCCCAGGAAGATCAAAAGAGGACATCAGTTCCAGAGGGACTGGAGTTAGAGGCTGTAAACTGCCACATGGGTGCTGGGAATTGAACCTGGGTCTTATGGAACAGCAGCCAGTGCTTTTTGTTCCTCCCCAGTACTCTAGAAGAGAGCCATCTCTCCAACACACCAGCCAGCCTCTTTTGGTTTGCTTTGTTTTGTTTTGTTTTTCTCTGTGTGGCTTGCCCTGGAACTCCCTAGGCAGAAGGATCTCTGTGAGTTTGAGGCCAGCCAGAGCTGTTACACAGAGAAACTCCCCTGCCCCCTCCCCCCAAAATGAGCCACTCACCATATTACTTTTCCCCCGTATATGTATGTCTGTAGGTTAAACTTAAGTGCCAGGGGGTTCTGGAGAAATGGCTCAGCAGTTAAGAGCACCGGCTTCTCTTCAAGAGGTCCCAGGTTCAATTCCCAGCACCCACATGGCAGCTCACAGCTGTCTGTAACTCTTGTTCCAGAGAATCTGACGCCCTCACACAGACATGCATGTAGGCAAAACATCAATGTAAATAAAATAGAAATAATTTTTTTTAAGTGCCAATGCTGTGGGGTTTCTGGGTTTTGTTTCTTTTTGTTTTTTGAGACAGGGTTTCTCTTTCTTGGCTGTCCCAGAACTCATTCTGAGACCAGGCTGGCCTTGAACTCAGAGATCAGCCTGCTTTTGCTTTCTAAGTGTTGGGATTAAAGGTGTACACCACCTGCCACCATCACCATCCACCTTTGAGAACGGGTCTCACTATGTAGCTCTGACTGGCCGGGGGGAACTCACTATGTAGACCAGGCTGGCTTTGAACTTGAAGAGATCACCTGCCTTTATTAATATGACATTTTGAAGGGTGTAGTCTAATTGCTGTCCCTGGTGTCATGCCTAGAAAATTTGAGAAGGACAATCTAGTTTTAGACAGATAGCAGAGGTTAGTGCCATGACCAGGACTGGGGAATGGGGGAGGCATTGAGGTTCTCCCCTTCTTCCATGGCATTTGCAGCCCAAGCTGGGTCACACCTGTCATCTTTCAGGACACATTTGACATCCGGATCCTGATGGCCAAATCTGTCAAGTACACAGTGAACTTCTTAGAAGCCAAAGAAGGAGATTTGCACAGGTACCCTTTATCCCCTGGGGACCCATGGCTACTGCTACCCACCTGCCAGCCACCATACCTCCACCCCTGCACTTCTCAGTGATGTACCCATCACCCATGGGGCACTCACGGCCAGATGCTGTCCCCCAAGCTCCCCCTCCTATTCTTACAGTCAGGTTGAGCATCTACAGTAAGCCCATGCCCTTTGCCTTGCAGGATAGAAATCCCATTCAAATTCCACATGCTGCATTCAGGCCTGGTCCATGGCTTGGCGTTCTGGTTCGATGTTGCTTTTATTGGCTCCATGTAAGTATGGGATTGCTGGGGCTCTTTGCAGCTATGGCCTCCAACTCCTCAGGTGGTCCTTTCTATCCAAATCCCAGGGAGAATCATGGGGTGGGGTGTGTGGTTGTTTTTCCTCAGAAGCTATCCTTAGTGCCTATCCCTTATGTGTGTTTCTCTCAGTACATGGGTGTCAGGGTGAATGGGCACCCTGTGGCCATGGACTGTCAGTACATGTTTGCCAGTCTTGCCCCTGAGCCCCCAGGGACCATTCAGGGAAAGACCTTGGGTTAACATCAAGATATGTGGGGTAGTGGCACATGCGATGGCCCAGCCCAGTGAAGTACACCCATTTCTTCTTGACAGAATGACCGTATGGCTATCCACAGCCCCAACAGAGCCTCTGACCCACTGGTACCAGGTCCGGTGCCTCTTCCAGTCACCGTTATTTGCCAAGGCTGGGGACACGCTTTCAGGGACATGTCTGCTTATTGCCAACAAAAGGTGCACCTTGACACCCATCCACGGCTGGATAGGGCAGCGGCACAGGGGTCTACCAGCCCAGCTGCCTCACAGCCACATCTGTATCCCCCCAGACAGAGCTATGACATCAGTATTGTGGCCCAGGTGGACCAGACAGGCTCCAAATCCAGTAACCTGCTGGATCTGAAGAACCCCTTTTTCAGGTAGTAGGGTTCTAGTTGGGGGAGGGGGGAGGCAGTAGTCCCACAGCCCTGCCCACAGTGAATCTCTGCTATAGGTACACGGGCACGACTCCATCACCTCCACCTGGCTCACACTACACATCTCCCTCCGAGAATATGTGGAACACGGGAAGCACCTACAATCTCAGCAGCGGGGTGGCTGTGGCCGGTGAGTCTGAATGCTATTTCCAGATATAGCTGGAGGCCCTTGGTGGCTGCCTGGACCCCAGATACCCAGAGCTTGCCTTGCCCCACTCCTGACACTCCACTTTCTGGTCAGGAATGCCTACTGCCTATGACCTGAGCAGTGTTATTGCTGGCGGCTCCAGTGTGGGTCACAACAACCTGATTCCCTTAGGTGAGTACCCCCTGAGATCTATGGCATGGCAGGGGACAATTGGGATGTGCCAGTGGCCAGTCAAATAGCCAGTGCTTGGTCCTCTGCCACCACTCACTGTCATGGCCACCTCTTCCTCTTCCTGGGGAGCCTCTTCTGTGTGCCTCTCCACCTTGATCTGTCACCACTTCATCTGCCCTTCCCACACCAACCGTAAGAGTGGAGTGGGCCAGGCAGGCTGGGGGCGGTGACGTCTCCCTCCCTCCTTCTTTCCTCCCTGTCGCTGCGCAGCCAACACAGGGATTGTCAATCACACCCACTCCCGGATGGGCTCCATAATGAGCACGGGCATTGTCCAAGGTAACAGGGTAGCGGGGCCGTGGGCGGGGGGCCTCCCGCCTGGCCTGCGCACACGCTCAAGCTACCAGTGGGGGCCAGGCAGGCTTAGGGGTCATGCTGGCTCCTCAGTGCCCGTGACCTGCCCCACAGGCTCCTCAGGTGCCCAAGGAGGCAGCGGTGGCTCCAGTGCCCACTATGCAGTCAACAACCAGTTCACCATGGGTGGCCCTGCCATCTCCATGGCCTCACCCATGTCCATCCCAACCAACACCATGCACTACGGGAGCTAGGTGCCTCCAGCAGCAACACCACTGCGCACTGACAGCACCAGGAAACCAAATGAAGTCCACGCCCAGTGCAGCTGGTGGCTGTCCCCCTTGTTCTGGAGAAGCGTGAACACCCGGTCACAGCCCTCTTTGCTATGGGAACTTGGACACTTTTGTACACGATGTCGCCGCTGCCCTCAAGTAACCCCCAGCCCACCCTTTGGCCCTGAGTGCGTGTCGCTGCCATATTTTACATGAGATCCTGTCAGGGCAGCCCTCATCCTGTTCTGCCCTCTCCACTCTGACCTGGCTTTGACATCTGCTGGAAGAGGCAAGCCCCCTCCCACCCCACCCCACTCTTACAGCTGCACCTGAACAGGCAGGAGGAGGCCAGTAGCTGCCACCATAAGACCTGGCAGCACCCATCCCCCAACCCGTCCTTGCACCTACCCCTCACCTAGGGTGGCAGCACAGCCAGCTGGACCTCTCAACTACCAGGCCACATGGTCACCATGGGCGTGACATGCTGCTTTTTTTAATTTTATTTTTTTACGAAAAGAACCAGTGTCAACCCACAGACCCTCTGAGAAACCCGGCTGGCCGGGCCCAGCCAGCAGCCCCTGTCCCTAGGCCCAGAGGTTCTAGGTGAGGGGTGGCCCTGTCAAGCCTTCAGGGCGGACGTAATCCCCTCTCACCAAAGGGTTCACCTCACACTTGAATGTACAAAACTCCCAGCTGTCCAAAGGCCTCTAGCCTCTGCTTCCTGCTACTGTCCTGTCCTGAGCCCTAAAGTCCCCCTCCACCAAAACCTGGAACAGGCAGCCCAGAGGGAAAGTCACCTAGGGCCAGTGGGGTAGACAAAAACCTCAAGGATCTGTCACAGAAGGAAGGAGGGCATCCTCTCCCTGATAGCTAACATAGGCCTGTGTGTGCACTCCACATTCATGCTCTACTTCCTCCTCTCAAGACAGCACCCCTGAGAAGGGGCCTAGCAGGAACCTCTCCCTCCAGACAGAACAAGAAGAAAAGCAAACAAGGAAGGAAAGGCAGTTTCTCCCCTGCTCCTTTGCCCTAGAGTCCCCACCTCAGTGGCCAGAGCCCAGGCTGGGCCCATGCCCACCACAGGTACTCCTGGCAATGGCTGGACCTGCCCTGTGCCACCCCCTGACCTGTAAGGGAAACAGGGCCCACAGGCAGGCTGGGAAACCGGGCTCTTCTGTCCATCAGTAATATTTCCTGCTCGGCTGCCCCCCCCACCTTTATATAAATTCTCTGGATCACCTTTGCATAGAAAATAAAAGTGTTTGCTTTGTAAGAAAAGCCTGCAAAGTAGCAGGGTGGTCTCCAGGGTCCAAGACTCCTCTAATCTTCACAGGGAGGGCAGGACAGGTCGTAGCCCCTGGGGTTTGACCTGGAAAAGAGAGACTGCTAGCAGTGGCCCCAGGAGGAAGAAGGTGAACCCTTAGCCACAACAGAAACTGGCCCCTCACCTGCAGGCCTGGCTTTCCTAGAAGGTTGTCATGGACCGGGCTGAGGTGGGCAGCAGGACACTGGGAGATAGAAGTGTGGCTTGGGGTGCTGGTATCACATGTTCCAGGGGCAATGGCTGGAAGAAGTACAGCTGCAGAGAGATGTCAGGGTGAATGTGCAGCTGGGTAGCAGCAAGCCCCACTCCACAGCCCTGCTGAGGAAGGACCCTACCTTACAACCTAGAGCCAAGAGGGCGTGAAGCAGCACCACAGTGGACAGCAGTGCTGCAGCCACCAGCCTTGTATCCTCTCGAACAACAGGCCACAGGGTGAACACCAGCCCGGCAGCTGACAGGGCCAGGGCCAGTGCTCCAAAGAGCCACTGCAGCCACTCCACTGGGATAAGCCACAGGACCTAGTGTGACAAGTGTAACTGGTGACCATACAGGGGGTGCCATTCAGCTTCCCACCAGTCCCCAGGGCCAAGCCACACTCACCACGGTGGGGATGAAGACAAAGAGTGAGTAGCCATAAACACAAACCGTCTCCAGGAAGGTGTACAGCCCCATGTGCTCCCTTGTGCCCTGACGCCACCGAAGGAAGCCCCACAGTGCCAGTGGCACTAGCCACGCATAGCAGTAGATGGTGATGCCAGCTATAGTCACTAGGAATGCAACATGGGCAGTTACTGCATGCCCTGCGGCCCATGCAGCCAGGAGCTGAGCCCACCCATTCTGCTTACCCTTGTGGAACTGGGGGCTGTAGTGGATGGAGGGGTCCCGCCTCTGTGCAAGCACCAAAGTGAGGTTGCCAGTAACTGCCAGGACAAAGGCCAACGTAGCACAGATCCAGAAAGGGCCTGCAAAAGGGACATGGAGTCCCAGGTTCATCACTCCTAGGAAAGGTTAGCTATGTCCTGTTTTAAGTGTGGTAAGACCCCAGACTGCATTTGACTCTCCAGATGGCTGGTAATAAGAGCTGCCTCTGGGCTCATCCTGTCTTTCTAGAAATAACTTCCAAAATCCCTCAAGCACTTGGCTTGTTTTTTTTTTTTTTTTTTTTTAAACAGTCCTGGGTGTACTGGAACTCACTTTGTAGATCAGGCTGGCCTCAAACTCACTGAGATCCACTTGCCTCTGCCTCCCAAGTGCTGGGACTAAAGGCCTGTTCTACCACCACCCATTATCTAAGAAAGTTCTTTATAGGTAGAATAGTCTTGGTGCTTTTCCACTGTGGGCAGGATCTTGTCCATACCTAAGGTTTCATGAATGCTACCTTCAGCTGTCCATTCCAAAGTTGCTTCAGGCCCTGAACTGCATGCTTATTTTTGAACTTCATATGTGTGTCCTCAGCCCCTGTACCCCTGATCTGCTCCTCATACCTGCCCAGACGTTCCTCTTGGTGGACTGGGTAGAAGACCACCCTTGCCTTTCCCACTCTAGAACCAATCACTCTGCACTTACAGCCTCCACTGTAATGTCTGCCCCTGCCTCCTCTAGCTGGCTTCTACCATTAATTTCGACAGTGCCAGAGGAGATCTTTCTAAAAATTTCACACCAGGATCCCTTCTTGCGATGTTATGGGACCACTGTACTCATCCCCTACCCATGAGCTCCCAGCTGTTCCTTCCACTCCAGGGACCTATGCCACCATGCAACTCAGTTTTATTTCCACCATGGGTCCCAGAAACTTTCTGGGTTCCCTTCTAAGCTTTTCTCCACCAATGCCAACAAAACTCATTTGCCTACCCTACTCAAAGGCCTTCCTGACTTCTCTGTACCAGGCAGTGATGCCACTCATCCTCTGTGTTAGCCCTGCTTCCCATCCTGGTGTCTCCCTCAACTAGACACAAATTTTCTTTATGACTGACTGCCCTGCTCAGGGCCTGGCACAGACCCTTGTATGTTAAATCAAACACATAGCCTCATTTACCATATAGGTCAGGCCGATTTCTAAGATGGTACCTCACAAAGTTGTGGCCAGGGTGGGGCAGCAGCGAACCTTTAATCCGGTCCAAGACCTGGAGAGCAAAGCCAGGATCCAGAATGAAAATCCATGCATTCTGAGAGATATAGCCCCTGTAGATTTCTACTATTTTGCCACTACATCCTAACTGAAACAAGCTCAGTTGTCCCCTCCAAGCTGTTCATTGGGTGTCTCTATGGCTTGTGGTCTTGACACCCCTACCTCCTGCTGAACAAGTCACTACTCTGAATGTAGGCTTTTGGGAATGCCATTTCTTTTTAAAATTTTTTTTAATGTGCATTGGTGTTTTGCCGTGCATGTCAAGTCCCCTGGAGCTGGAGTTACAAACAGTTGTGAGCCACCATGTGGGTGCTGGAAATTGAACCCCCAGGTTCTCTAGATGAGCAGTCAGTACTTTTAACCTCTGAGCCATATTGTCAGCCCCTCTCTCAACTTCTTGCAGCCTCTCCTCCCAGCCACAGTAAGGACAGTCCATAAATTCTGGATGTTCTTCCTCCTACATCTCCAGGATGTGCCCTCTCAGTAGATGTGGTTTATTAGCAGAGGCTGCCCTGTGTTCCACATCTGTATCTGCTTATTCTACTCATCCCTCTCCTGCTCTAAAATCTTCCATAACTCCCCATCGCCTCGGGCCAAGACCCAAACTTCAGCTCATTAATGGAGCTTTCATCCAGGCCAAGTGGTGCCATTTGTGGCCCTACCTACCCAGGAGGCTGAGAGAAGACACTGGCTTTCAGACCCATACCCACCCACCCATCTACCTTGCCTTCCGGCCCTACCACACACACAGTCCATCCAAATACAGTGGCTGAGCCCCAAACAACCAATGTCCCAGGCCTCACCTGGGAGGTGTCCACATCAAAGAAGCTTTGATAGTAGTCAAACGTCCAGAATCTTGGCTGTGGCTTTTCTTCCTGTAGAAGCTACAAGACACAAACTTTCAGAAGCTGCCTCTCAGCCCAGCTATGGACAGGCATGGCATGCGGGGCCCAGGGGACTTACCGATGCTCTATCGCCCTCTTCCTCCACCACTTCGGCTCCATAGCCAATACCTGATCCCACGACCACAGTCACGTGCTCCCGTGAGGTCAGGGCATCACTTTGGCTAGTGGTGGCTGCATCTGGGGTCTCTGCCAGAAGATTTGTGGCTTCTTCGAACTCTACGGTCAGAGAAAATGGGCACAGGTGTTTGGATTCTGAAAATCTCTTGACCATCACCCCGGGCTGTGGTTGCCTCACTACACTCCCTAAGGACTGCGTTTCTTCAATTTTGACGCATAGAGAAGTCTGTTTCTCGACTAAGATGGGGTTCAGGTTAGGTTCTAGGCAGACTTGGAGGCTCTGATGTGCCTCTGAGTTTATAGTGGGAGCAGGGATTGACTGAGTACGGGATGAACCCCAGGTTCACGCTGGGATCTAGGTCCCAGCTGCCTGGAGTTTTATCCTAGGACAGGAGTAGGAGCTCTGACCACTTCCCGGCCCCACTCACCATGGAAGGCCAGTGCGTCAGCCGCTGCCATGATTCTTTTGAGGCGTCACCGCATTGCGCTGTGTGGACAGAACTGCATCAGTCCCTCAGCCCTCCCCAGGATTGATGCTTCCGCCTACAGTCCTGCCTGGAGCCTACCGAACACCTGGAGTGAGACCAGCCCTGGGCCAGGTGCACCCCGCCCTCCTCACCTAAGGCTACCTAAGCTGGCGTGGCCCATCCTCCGTGCGCGTGCGTGCGGCCAGCGTACCCGTCAGAGCCCACTCTTCATGCAACGGCAA